AGATCCACGCCTAGAACAATCCTGGAGTAAATTATGCCACAACTAGCCCTAAAGTACCTCTGATACAATGCAGTGCTTGCGAAAAGCCAGCAGGGATGTCTCTAAAGCAAATTCTGCCAGACAAACCTGAGGTTTTTTTTTTTTTTTTTGCCTGGGTAAACTGCCAAATGGACTGTGGAATGTTTTCGATAACTTGACTTTATCTGGTTTTAGCAAAGCCTTCCACAAAGTGCCCCACGACATCTGCATTACATAGAAATATAGAAACATAACCAGTCAGAAGGGGCCTCTTGGGCCATCTAGTCTGACCCCTGACTCCAGCTGGCAGCACTCATAACATGCCCACCATGCGCATGTCCAGCCTTTCATTGAACATCCTCATCAATGGGGCCTCAAGCACTTCCCATGGAAGTCCATTCCAGACCCTCGGCATCCTAACTGTCAGGATGTACTTCCTGGCATCCAAATTGAACCTTGGTTCCCTGAGTTTTGCTCTCTTGGAGCATGTCCTGCCTTCCTCTGCAGGGGAGAACAGGTCTCTGCACACCTCTGTGTGATACCCCCTCACATACAATTAGGTAAATCCACAATGGTCTGCAAGATTGCACTCAGAGCGCTTGGCATGCATGTCACCAACAGATCTCCTCTGAGTCTCCTCTTCCCTGCAAACTGACCACCAACCTTGTGGCCCTACGCTGCACTGACTCCAACCTGGCTAGATCCTTCATATAATGAGGGACACAGAACTGAGCACAATGCTCAAGTTGCAGGTGCACCAGAGTCATCTGGAGTGGTAGTAATACCTCTCTTGATCTACCAGCTACTCTTCTGGATAGCCACACTAGATATATGATTAAGCAACTCCTTGAATGCAGATTCTCCCATGCTCTGCCCTTGACATGTATAGGTAATGCAGAGAGAGAGAGAGAGAGGGAGAGAATGATCCCACCCCACTCTCAGGAAGCCATGCTAGGTCCTGACCTTGAGAGATCGATGAACAAAAACAGCCCTTGGTGCAGAGCCATGAGGACTAGCGCCATGCAATGGTTTTTGGTAAAGGAGCAAGGCTGAACCAGGTTCACTCACTTTAGCTTTCAGGGAAGGTGTGTCACTGACACCTGTAGCAGGAGAGGCTGAACTAAATGGAAAGAAGAGATTTCTCTGGCTGCATCTCCTGATTTTCTTCAGATCCATTTTCAAGTAGTAGAGGAACTACCCTTCGTGTGGCCCTGGCTACTTTTGGGGTTAGAAGACAACCATCATGCAGCATCACGTTCCACAGTGTGGTGGATGGGGCAGTTGCTGCCGGGGGTCCAAAGGATCTGTGCTTGCTGAGAAGAAGAGCAGGAAAGGCACCTGAGGGCAGAGATTTCGTTCAGGAGGCTCCTGCCTACTCCCTGGAATTGCCCAGAAATGCAGCCGTGGGCATCTCCAGATTTGTCCAGGATCTGACTGGGAATGCGGGGAGACCTGGGTGAATGTCCTCATGAGGTTCAGGCATGGGAAGACATCAATGTCCAGTGCATCTTTTTCAGTTGTATCAGACGCCTGAGATCCTCCACCTGGAGTCTGCATGTTACCTGCATGTCACAGCCAGAAATCCAATGAACTCTCGGCTTGGAAGTCACTTCTGAACCTAGAGGTCTCCAGCTAGGAAAATTGGGTAAGATTGTGCCAGAGTTTCCTTCCTCTGAGCTGCATGCTTCCGGGTGGGAGCGAGTGCATTTTGGTGCTGTTCCGACAGAGCAATTTGTCACAAAGGCTTGTTCTGACGCTCTTGGAGCTCTAGCGATCAGCCGACCGATCTGACTGATCGAAAAGTGTGAAGATCTTAGAGCAGAGCCCCACCTTTCCATCCCTGTCTAGGATGGAGTCTGCTTGGGGCAGGGATGGAGGTGTACTCCTGCATCTTCGGGGGACTGTCAACATGAGAACAAACCGCTGGATCTCTCTCACTATGCTGCTTGTCCAGCACCCATCGGGATCAGGCCCATGAAGAAACCCTTAGTCTGGCTCTCCCCTTTGGTAGTAATACCTAGATCGAGAGAGGTATTACTACCACTCTATATGACTCTGGTGCATCCACAACTGGAGTATTGTGCTCAGTTTTGGGCCCCTCGTTACAGAAAGGACATAGCCAGGTTGGAGTCAGTGCAGCGTAGGGCCACAAGGTTGGTGGCTGGTTTGCAGGGGATGGGGTATGAAGAGAGACTGAGGGAACTGGGTCTCTTCAGCCTGGAGAAGAGGAGACTCTGAGGGGATATGTTGGCAACATACAAGTACGTGACGGGATGTCACATGGAGATGGGTAGAGACCTGTTCTCCCCTGCAGAGAAAGGCAGGACGTGCTCCAACGGAGCAAAGCTCAGGGAGCCAAGGTTCCATTTGGATGCCAGGAAGCATTTCCTGTCAGTTAGGAACCCGAGGGTGTGGAACGGGCTTTCACGAGAGGTCGTTGAGGCCCCATTGGTGCGGGTGTTCAAGGATAGGCTGGACATGCAGATGGTGGGCATGTTGTGAGCGGAGCCGGCTGGTGCCGGAGGTCAGACTAGATGGCCCAGGAGGTTCCCTCTGACTCGCTCTGTTTCTATGTTTCTATGATTGGTCAAGGTCCATCTGGGCAAGACTCTGAGACTCTCAAACTCAACATTTCCTCTTGTGTAGCAGCCCTGACTCCTCTTCCTGGAATGAGTACCCTGGTGTGATAGCAATCACAATGATTTGAATCCCAGACCCATTTGAGGGAAACCTACATTGGAATACCACGTCGTCTCATAACTGGCGTAGTATGAAACTGGTGTAGTATCCTTGTTCTTCCCCCCATTCTTCTGCCTTTACTTCTCTTGGACAAGTGACTTGGCCAGGTGCTTGCTGGGCACATCTAGCTCCTCTTGAACAAGACAGAGTCTCTCAATCATTTTCACTCACTCCTCAGTTTCAGTTTCTGCTTTATTCACCCTCTGGAACGAGCTTTTCTGGGAGAAGGACAGAGGAGCCCTGATGATTCCCTTGGACCCCTGAGAGGCTTGGATCCCACCACCCACTGCAGCCTGTTGGAGCGGCTCTGTCAGCTGGGACTGGGGGTGCTGCACCGTGGTCCTTCCATTCCTGCCTGTTGGCTATTCCTCCATCCCGGAAGGAGACCAAGATGGGTTGAGGGCCTGGCTCCAGGCACTGATGCCATGGGACACCAAGGGACTCTCTCTTTTCCCCCAGGCCCTTTCACATGGACATGGAACCATGGGGAAAGCATCCCCTGCCCATTCTCACATCGTGGAGAGGAGTCCCTTTCAGGCAGAAGGAAGGCTGCTGGCTCAGACCAAGGCCACACCCAGTCCAGCATTCGCTTCACACAACGACCAGTCAGGTGCTCAAGGGAACTCTCTTTTTGCAAAGAGCAACAATTTTAGGTTCTCTTATACAATTTCAACAATGCAAAACAAAAGCAATGTAAACTCATACATTTGCATATTTCAGTGCATGTATATGGAATGCCAGCATTTCTGCAGAAGGCTTTCTAGAAGTTGCACACCAACTTGAACGAAAGCACACATGTGTCAGTAAAGCTGCTTTCACCATTCAGTTTCTGCACCCCTTGATCACCTGTTGCAAAGCAGCGTTTCTCCCAAGTTTGATATCTGGTCCTTTAGCTGTGAAATGGGATGTAAAGTCCATTTGGTCTACCCAAGGGCCAACTTCTGGGAAGTCGATAGATCACTTCAAGGGCACGAAGGAGGGGCAACATTTCTACTTATACTGCCAAAACATTCACAATTCTTGTACCTAGTTGCCTGGATCATCCACTGTTGGGGCTCTTACACTTTGCATCTTACAGCTGCATAGTAGCCTAAACAGATTTCCTACGTTATCAAAGCCAATGGAATGGAATATAGTTCAGTGCAGTCCCCAAAGCACAGAGGGTCTGGGTGGGGACCCCTCCCCTTATAAGCAGACTCCTGAGGGCCATGTCCCCACCCACTCTGTGATGCTGAGCTGTTGAAGGGTCTTCCCACCTAGGCCTTCTGCTGTCACTAGAGCCCATAGATGTGAGGCACAGATGACCACTTGAAGAATGACAGTTACATGTAAGCAATTTGCTTCCTCCAAAATTTGCACGTTTCCTCATCATTTGTTGGCCTACTAACTATGGAAGTTCTGATTGCAATACCCTCCACATGAGCAGCTCGTTCTCAAAACAGAGTATAGCAGAACATGGGGTAAAGCACTATCATTGGTTGAAGGGTCAAATAATGTTGCTTATCTTTTGTCCTTGTACCTATTTGGGACTTAACACAGGACTTTGATGAAAGGGTGGTATAAGTTTGTTGTTTGCATACATAGATGATTTCATATTTTCAAAGAGAGATTTTTTTGGGGAGAATGGATGTCATTTCTATTCCAAGCATTCTTAACTCCTCATGTATCTACTTATTTCAACTTGCAAAATGCAGCTCATTGTTTAATTGGAACTGATGGTACAGCACCTTGTACTACATGAGCTTTGAGGGTCCATCCAAGGTCACGATTCTACCTGCTCTCTACTTTCCCTTTGATATTGCAGGAAACACAGAAGGGAAATGAGAGAAACGTGTTTGGTTTCAGGCCATCTGCTACTCAAGTTTCATCATGGAGACTAAAATTGCACAACAGTTTATCACACATCTAATTATCAAAATAGCCCAAAATATTTGGTTTCAGGCCATCTGCTACTCAGGTTGCATCATGGAGCATGCATCGTGCAATTGCGCAACAATTTATTGCCCATGTAATTATCAAAATGGCTATAGATCATGCAATTGACCAGACAGCTGAACCAACTGGAAAAATAGGCTTTATCGGTCTCCCCCGGAGCATGCAGTACTGCAACACACCTAGTTCAAATCCCACTGATTTCAGTAAGGATGTTGATGCAGAGAGAGCATAAGATACGTCATGTGTGGGGGAGAATTTGCCCTTTGGATGGTGCTGCTGTTGCAGCTGCTGCTGCTGGCTAGTGGGGTATGGAAAGCACAGACTTTGAAGTGCCCCAGAAGTGAGCCTATATTTATTCCACATGACTGGTATGAGCCAAAAGATCTCCTCATTGGTGGGATGGCATCTCTTCTACATGACTTTCCGCGCAGCATCAGCTTCATCAGACATCCTTCTCAAGAAAAGTTTAAAATGCCAGGGTAATGCATTTGCACTAACAGGCCGCCCTGAAAATGTTTCATACTATATTCAGGGGCTCTCTGTTTCTGAATAATTGCATGGAAATATAGTTCCTCTTGGGAAAAGACTGCATTTTAAATACAATGAAATGCTACAAGAGTGCTGTGGGATCAGAAACCCTTTTAGCTCTTTTGTCTGTCCAGTAACGTGCACAAATGTCAAGGCACAATGCAGCAAAAAGAACACATTCTGTTATTGATTCCGAAAGGATTGATTTTGCTTTTAACTTTGCTGCGTGGGGTCTCTACTTATACACAGGATCCTCAATCTTTTGGTGTTAATGTGGAGCACAAGGGAGACAACATGATTTTGTCGCAAACTTTCCCTTTTCTGTGAATCACATGTCACTGCTTTCTTTGCAGGGTGGTGACTAAGTTCTACCAACACATTCTGGCTTTTGTATTTGCCATTGATGAGATCAATGAGGATCCCAGGATCTTGCCCAACATCACTCTCGGCTTCCACATCCAGGAAAGCTACACTGACCCAAGGATGACCTATCGTGCCACTTTAGATTTGCTTTTCAACTCACATCAGTTTGTGCCAAATTACCAGTGTGGCAGAGAAAAAAATGTTCTAGCTGTCATTGGTGCATTGAGCTTTGAAACCTCCTTATGCATGGCAGACATCTTAAGTCTTTACAAGATTCCACAGGTAGGAATGAGGCAGCATGGAAAAATGGTTAGAAGGTTGAGCTGGGATTCAGGCGAGCGTTAGTCCACACTGGGTGATTTGATGAATTTGCATCAGTCACTAATGTATCTCACAGGTTATAATATAGAATTTAAAAAACCTGGTACTAAGGGCATTCTCCAATGCTTCTTCAGGTCATTTCTCCCCTTCAAGGTGTGATTTTATGATGCATCAGAAAGTGGAATACTGGGTGAAAGGGAATTGAAAATACAGAGTTCCATTCTGAGTATGATCTGCTTATCCAAATAACTAAATGTAGATAAGCATGTGCTATTCAATATTGCAGACTTAACCAACACTGGATTGCAACCAGTTTTTGTCATACTGAAAGTACTCATTTATCTGCTGTGAATCTTCTTTGACTCTTTCTTGTTTAATGCATACAAAGGAGGATTTATTCCCAGGTGGATCATGAACAGGTGGGAGTCATTTGTTTGGAATATAACTTCAACAAACCTCACACATATCTCCTTGTGAAGTCTAAGTAAGGTAGCCAGAGGTTTCTGAACAGAGTTGGACAGCGGTGCCCATTCTTAGCACTTCTTAAATTCACTCTAATGACAGTGTGGCCAGTTTTGTCCTAACTACAGCAGATCAGCTGTCCTACTTGAAATACAAGTAAAATTTCAAATGAGTTATTTAATTAACAATAGCATGTTATAATAGCTACACTTTTTATTTAGTGAGTCCTTCTGAGGGAGTGAAGAGGCTGGCAGATACTTCTGTTCCCCTTCTGATATCTCATGGATCCTCCACTTCTTCCCTTTTTTCCAAGCTTTCATATGGCTCATTCAAATCCATGAATGATCAGCACAATCTGCACTCCTTTTACCGCATGGTCCCAAATGAAGATCCACAATACCAAGGACTTGTCCAGTTACTGATCCATTTCCAGTGGACGTGGGTAGGGCTCATGGCCACAGATGATGTTGGTGGAGACCAGTTCTTGAGAACCATGGAGCCACTGCTTTTGAAGAACAGGATCTGTTCAGAATTCACAAGAAGAGTTGAAACAACTTTGTATATCAATGATAACATAAATGAAATGGTTCATAGAGTATGGAATCATGTGGAATATATATTGGGAAGAAAAGCCAATGCTTTTGTAATCCACGGTGAAGCTCCAGCCATTGCATGGTTGCAATGTCTTCTCTTTGCAAATGCTTTGGCTCAACAAGTATTTCCTCAATATAAGAGGAGGTTCTCCTCAGCAAAAGTGTGGATAACAACAGCTCAAATTGATTTCTTTGTAAGTGGCTTTGCAGCATTTGCTGGATTTGACATACAAATGCTCCATGGTGCCCTCTCTTTTACAATTCCTTCCAAGCAACCTGAAGGCTTCCAAGAGTTTCTTGAGCTTGTCAATCCTTCTTGGGACAATGAAGATGCCTTTATTCATAATTTTTGGGAACATGCCTTTGCTTGTTCATTTTCAAGATCCATCATGCATTTTCTAGGTCGTGAAAGATGTACAGGAAATGAGAGTTTGGAGATCCTTCCTCAGACTGTTTTTGAATTGAGCATGAGTGGCCACAGCTACAGTGTCTATAATGCAGTCCACACAATCGCTCATGCTTTACATGACTTTTACTCAGTTGCATCCAATGACAGAGGAATAGTGAGTGGAAAAGGGACATCTCCTCAAAGTGGTCAGTCCTAGCAGGTAACTTTGGTGGCTTTCAAAAGTCAATAGTCATCACTTAGAGATTAAACAAATGTTGTGAATATTTTTTCTTTATTATTGCACAATGCAGGACTAACAATGCTATTCCATACAAATGAAACAAAAAAGAAACATGAAATAAAAATAAAATGTTACAGATTTTGGAAAGAAAAATATCCATTGCAGGTAATCTAGTTATACAGGGCAAAATATTGTCATTCAAATGATTTATGAGTATAAGATGACCCGCTATGAGATGGTTTTGTAGCTTACCTTGGTTTCATGATTTTTTAAAAAAGCATAAAGAATGAGCCATCAGGATGCTTGGAGAGGACAGGAAAGAATTCCAGGAAAAATTGGGACAAAAGGGGAAAAGGAAGACCAAATCAGCTGGATGGACTCCTTTACAGAAGCCACAGCCTTCAATCTGGAACAGCTAAGCGTGGGTGTTGAGGATAAGACATTCTGGAGGGGTTTAATTCATCGTGTCTCCATAAGTTGGAGATTACTTAATGGCTCAGAATAGCAACACAAAATATTTCAACAAAGGTATGCCAAACATACATGGCCATACATTTCTTAGATTACCACTAAGATCCTCCTCTTTAAAAATTAAATCACTATAAAATCCTGCCCCACTCTAATACTACAGGTGGCCATTTATCCATCCAATCAAGTAAAATTAGTTTTTAGTCTTCCTAAATATTTAGTCCTTAAATATTAAAGAACCTTCCTTTACAAGAGAATTATGTGATTTGCAGGGCCAATTTCCCTACTTTTGTATCTTCTGCAAAATTATGCCATTTTAACACTGTGTTTACTACTAGGCTGGAGGGTCTTATCTTTACTGGAACTCCCTGTCCAGTGATAGCATGTTGAATGCATCCCTCTCAATCCATTCTTTTATGACATGGATCCTCAAACTATGGCCCACATGCCAGAAATATTTTAATAAAATAAAATAAAAAAATAATAAAAGGCCTGCCATGTTCATTTATCTGGCCCACCTCAGAGCTTTTGGACTCACTCAGAGAAAACAATCTGAGCCTGTGCAGACATGCTCAGTGGGGAGATGGCCACAGTTGCGCTCATGCAGGGAAGACGAGCATGATCGCGGTTGTGCTCGCGGGAGAGATGGCTGCAATCATGCTCAGAGGGAGATGGCCACAATCACGCCTGCATAAGAGTGCTCAAGGGGTAAGGAGATGACCATTTTCCCTTCACGAGCATGACCGCGCCTGTCTCCCCACAAGCACAATCACTATCGCATGATTATTGTTTGGGCTTTCCCTCCACATTCCATCAAAGAGCAGCTATGTAACAAGTGCTTAGAAAGATCAATCAAATGTACTAGGCTTAATTGGTTGTATGTTGTTATCAACCCTTTAATACTCCAAGAAGGATTTCTATGAGGCTTGAGCATATAGAGGACTATGATCCAAGCTAAGAACATCCTATTGCCATGCAAAACCCTTTTACTCTTTCTGCCCTGAAAACTGGGGAAGATGCAACTTTTTACATCCCAAACTGGTCATGATTCAGGAGGATGCACATAATCTTAACCTAGGTGGGTCAGTTGGGAAAAAAGAATTAGATAAGGATCATTCTGAGAATGGGGCATAAATCCAAACACACACACACAGGCATCTACTAAAAACCCTTTTGCACAAGGAATGAGTTGCTTTTCATGCCTACTAGGTAACTCCCAGGTAAACAAAATTTCACTAGTTTTTCCAGCGGATCTCATTTCTATATAATCCCTGTTCGACAAATGCATGTCCATGAAAGATACTTTTGGAGTTCTCAAGGCAATGTTTTCAACTATAGGATTTTTTATTTGTATTCAGTGATTCATTTATCAGTTTCCTAAAAAGAATACTTCCCCTTAATGCTATTTAAATATTGTGAATGAGAATATCACAACTCTTGATTTACCATGTGATTTTCTTTGTCTCTTGTTCAGCTGCATGCATTCATTCTGAAGACCTCATTCAACAACAGTGCAGGAGAGGAAATTATGTTTAACCAACAGGGAGAATTTGAAGGGGGGTTTGATATTACCAACTTGGTCACTTTCCCTAACCAGTCTTATGTCAGGGTCAAAGTGGGAAGGGTGGAACATCACGTGGCTGCAGGCAAAGGATTCACCATTAATGAGGACAAAATTGAATGGCACAGACAATTGAAGCAGGTGGGGAAATGCCACTATTTCTTGCACAATTCATCCTTAACTTGATAACTTGATATTTAATTAATTAATTAATAAAAATTATATGCCATCCAATTACTTGTGTCTCTGGATGGCTTACAACATAAATAAAATTGACAACACACTCTGGCTGCATGTTAATAAAAATACCACTGTACAATTCAATATTAAGACATAATAAAATATTGATTAAATAAAAAGGTGTTAACCTGGCACCAAAAAACATATAATGACGGTGCCAAGCAGACCTCTCTGGGGAATGCATTCCAAAGTCAGGGTGCCACCACAGAGAAGGCCCTCCTCTGAGTACTCTGTCTGCTAACATCTTTTATGGGAACACCATATAGGGAATGCAGAATTATTGCATTTAAAGTAAATATGGTACCTACAGTTCAATTTGGGGACAAAAAGATACAATAGATCCCAGATCCAAGGTCTAAGTCAAAGAGTCTATGCCACATCCAGAAATGTAGGCTCTTACATCTTTTCCAATCACAGCCAACACAGAAAGAACTGCATAGACTACCTCTCCAACACTGGGAATTAGACCTAGGAGAGTGGGTTAAAGGATGGTCCAATGATTTGCCAGTAGAAGAGATGATAGAAGAGCAAGAATGAGCAGCTCTCAGCCAAGCAGCCATCTTCAAAATTCCCCCATCTCAATCTCAGAACAAGAAACAAAAGGAGGACTAGTGCTTTGGTGTTCTTTATTTAGCCCTTCCAGTGCATTAAGCTGGTGCAGCTCCATGTACACCAGAGACCTTGAGTGGAAGGAGGAGCCCTTCCACTGGGGCACTCCTCGTGGCCCCAAGCTTGCTCAACAGCAGCTTCTTGTGTCCCCAAGGGAAAAGTCCTTGGCTTGGCACAGCATTTTTCTGCACTGTTGGCCACATCAGCTCCTATCACAGTGTTCTTTTGTTGTCATGACCACAGCTGTTGAACAACTGAACAACCCATTCAGAATTCATCTCCATTCAAGATAAATTATTCAGTCCTTTAAATTATGATGCCTTACCTAGTCCTCGAACCACTTATACATGTACATGGTTATGACACTGAAAGTAAAAAGAAAAGGGTATGTGAGAAAGCTGAATGGTGCAATTCTGGGGCCTCCAAGAGATAAGGCTGTGCCACGAACACCATATGTTTTGTTTTCTCCCCACAACACTCTTGGGCCCAATCTCTTCAATCTCATAGCTTGCTCTACCCACATAAAGCTCCCATTGGGAATGATGGATCCGTGTCCTCTCCAGGCTCCATCTCCCACTCTACTGCCCAGCAAAATGGTCAAAACAAGGCTATCTCAAAAAATGCAGAGGGGAAGGAATGGGCAGGGAAAGATCAAATTGGCTGCTTCTGTTGCCCTTCCTTGCAAGGCTGCCAGCTGTTGAATTCAGAAGCTACAAATAGTCTCATTCAGACTGTCCTCTAAAAAGCTAGGAACACACTCAGTGCAGCAGAGGAAAGCTGTATCCAAATGAAGAGAGGATGTTTCTGTCCTAAGTGGACCAGTGGCTGACAGAGGAGAACATTGTTGCATTTCAAAATATTCTCTGAATGGCCTGTACAAGAAGAGTTAACACTGTTAGGTGGAAAGCTGAACTAGTTGTGCCATGGTTACGGCAAAGAATAGAAATTCCCATCCTCAGGATTCCATGAAATGATCAGGATGCTCCTCTGGCAAGGAGAAAGGTAGTGTTCTGTATCTTGAGCATACCTGGTGCAATGACTTGCTCAAATGTCTCCTTCACATTATTTGCCTCCAATGTTTTCAAACAGGTGCCTCCTGTTTCTTCATGTAATGACAAATGCCTTCCTGGTTACAGCAAGAAAAAGCAGGAAGGGAAGCCATTTTGCTGCTATGCCTGTGCTACATGTCCAGATGGAATGTTTTCAAACCAGAAAGGTAGGGCATAAATCAAACGAAAAGTGTGTTTCAGTAAAAAGGTTTCAAAAACTTTTTGAAGACCTATCCAGACCCTGCTTTGTTGCAACATTTGTTGCCTTTCTTGAAGCAAAATACAGAAAAGTCCCAAATAGAAGAAAGTCAAAATGAATCTTTCCTTCTTCAGCAGGGTAAACAAAAGAGGAAGATGCTATAAGCAAGGAGCTTTGATTGTGGAGAAGTTGAAAAGGTTCATCAGAATGATTCATGCTGGCCCACAAGTTCTTGCATCATGTTCTGGAATGATTGCCACATTTTGTAGCAATATATGTAAGGAAATTGTGAAAGATAAACAAACATCACTTTTGTAAATATACCAAAATTGGTATTTCAGGGATATCAAGTCTGACATATTGAAACTATACCATGATAGCAGAACTAGGCAATGCGGACCTCTGGAGAGCCAGTTCTGAAATCTGAGGAGTATGGAGAGCGGTTCTTCATCAATTCTTCTATGTTTGCTTTTCAGATATGGACACCTGTGTTAATTGCCTAGGGCATCAATATGCAAACCAATTCCAGAATCAATGCATTCCTAAGATGCCAAACTTCTTAGCTTTTGAGGACACCTTGGCCATCATTTCCACTTCTTCTGTTCTTTCATTGTCTCTGATCACAGCTCTGGTGCTAGGCCTCTTCATCTGGCACAGGGACACTGCCATCGTCAAGGCAAACAATCGAAGCCTCACCTACATTCTCCTCATATCCCTTCTTTTGTGTTTCTTCTGCTCCTTCATTTTCATGGGAAGGCCCAATACGGTGTCTTGTCTGCTGCGACAAACTGCTTTTGGCATGGTCTTCTCTGTGTCCCTCTCCACTATCTTGGCAAAAACGGTTTCTGTGGTGCTGGCGTTCATGGCTACCAAACCGGGATCCCAGATGAGGAAGTGGGTGGGGAGAAGACTGTCACATTCCATTGTGTTCTGCTGTTCCAATATTCAGGCGGGCATCTGTGTTTTGTGGCTGACATCGTCTCCTCCATTCCCAGATGTGAACATGCAGTCCATGACTGAAGATATTGTCCTGCTCTGTAATGAAGGCTCTGTCTTCATGTTCTCTTGTGTCTTGGGCTACATGGGTCTGCTGGCTTCAGTCAGCTTTGCTGTAGCTTTCCTTGCCAGGAAGCTGCCCAACAGCTTCAATGAGGCCAAGTTCATCACGTTCAGCATGCTGGTCTTCTGCAGTGTGTGGGTGTCCTTTGTCCCAACATACCTGAGCACAAGAGGAAAGTACATGGTGGCCGTGGAGATCTTCTCCATCTTGGCCTCCGGTGCTGGCTTACTGGGCTGCATATTTTTCCCCAAATGCTACATTATTGTGTTTAGACCAGACTTGAACAACAGAGAGCAGTTGATGAGAAGGAAGAATTAGACTATCTCTTCATATCAACCATTTTCTTTGTATACTGCACATACTTTTGAATAAAGTAGTCTAGCTGGATTTCATACCTGAGTGGAAGAGGAGATCGGGAAGAGGATCAGGGACTACGCTGATCACCTTCAGGGAGGAGAGAAGAAAGGAAAGCATGTCACAATCTGGGGGGAAAGGTAGAATGAAGAGTCAGGGAATTTGGACCTGGAACCTTTCCACCTGGTAGTGGCCTGCAACCTCCATGTCATGCCTGGTGCTCTGCCGAAGGTGAGAGAGGCAGCCACGTGCAGCAAGGGAACGCGGGTTGGTGGCCATCTTGGAGGCAACCTGAGAGCGCCAGAGCAGGGAGTGGGCACCACAAGGCAAGGGGAATTCTGAGGTCGGGGAGCACAGTGGAAACGGGATGAGTAGTGCAGGAGATGGGGAAAATCACACATCATGGATGATTTGACTTTTCGGCACCAGGCCAAGACCTTTTTATTGAAATGATTTTTTAACTGTTAATTATTGTTGTGATTTATTTATTATACACCTGCCGAGATGTATCTGGATTTTTAAACTTCATTCAATATTTGTTTATTTGCTTTGTAAGCCACCCCGAGGCTTTTTGCATAGGGGGCGGCATAAAAATGCTTTTAGTAAATAAATAAATAAATAAATTCAGAACATATTCCCCTCCCGCTTCCACACAAAACTCCTGGTAGTCAAAACAAACAGTTAATGCATTCCCTCGACTCCGCTTCTAGGTTTTCTTCCCTTAAACATATTCCCCCCGGCCACCCCATTGAGAGTGCGCAAGGATCCTTTGTTTCAACCCAATCCCTCCCCATGCAGAATTTTCCTGAGACAATCCAGGCTTTGACCACTCAAAGAACCTCTCACCTCACTTGCAATACCTTACTGTCCCCTCCCTTCAAGAGTCAAACACCCCAACATTTTCTTGTAGAGTTTTCTAGACACTCCAGATCCCATCCAGAAAACCAATGCAAGCCTGCCCCCAACTCATGGGGGGAAGCAGCACTGCCCCAACTTCCCAATGCACTTTGAACTCTGCACATGCTCAGAGGCTCCTGTGTGTGTGCTCCCTCTGCAGCACTCACAAAATGGTGGTCCCTTCTGCCAGAGCATTTCCCCTTCTTGGCTGTGTGGGGATGGCCGAGCCCACAGATTCAGGAAGTCCATAACTTCCAGCACAAGTTTCCTTGAATCCAGTTGGCCAGAGCAAATCCAGAAAAAGCTGCAGCTGCTGTCCCCAAATGATGGAGTGCTCTCAGCAAGGGAGGCACACCGACCCTCTTCTCCTTTTTGCCTCTTCCTTCTTTTCTTTACCCATATGAAGTGTGCTCCACGGCGCCCGGCAACAGCAGGCAGTTGCACTCCAAGGGCTCCGGGGCCCCTGCCAGCTCCTCCAGTTTGTGCTTCCATGAAAGATGTGAGCAGCTTCATTTCTTACACCTATTTCCCCTTTTGTACCATAACACTCAACCACTATTTATCCAAAAATCCCAAAAAGCCCACTCACACAGCAAGCTCCATGCCCCCCTTAAAGCAAGGAATTCCTGCGAAATGCAGCACCTCACAGACTCGCATCCCCACTGGCCCCCAGCACAATTTGCCTTTTCCCTTTCCACTCCACGTACCAAACACCTGCAGGTCCAACAGGCAGAGAGACCAGATCAGCCCAGAGAAACCCACGAGGGAAGCGGCCAGGCCTGAGCCCACGGGGCCCCCCACCCCCCCTTCACTGTTCCCAAGGGCTGTATTTACTTGTTGAACTCCAGCCTGCCATTGTTCAGGCTGCTTGCTAAGCACAACCATCCCATTTCCAAGATTTTTCTGAAGGGGCAAATGGATTCAGGAAATGCAGCCCATCAGATATAGCTTGAGGAAGTCTGTGAAGGAAGGCACAGTAGGAAAGACGGAAGGGGATTTGTTCAGGAGGAAACAAGTGCAGAGGGACAGCGCTGTGTGCTGTGGTTTTGCCCTAGTGGAAGGTTTGCACTTTCATGGTTTGGACTGGGATTTTGTAGATGTTGCAAGTAGAAAGAGGCAAGTGAGCAGATGGATTGTGGCAAGGAAGGAAAAGGGAGGGGGGAATCCTGCTCATCCTGAAGGGATTCCCAGGGAAAGAAATGGAAAAAAAGGAAGGAAAACTAAAGCAAAGACGCAGAAGGGAAGGGTTTTCTTTTACGAGTTGAGGAGGTTTTCGGAAAAATCCCGTCAGATCATTAAGGGGCATTTTGGATATGAGTGGGCAGGAAATTGGGGAATAAGCCGGGAGATGAGGACTGCTCCAGGCAGTCGAAAGTGGCTTGGATAGAGAACCTCTTTTCAAGGGTTAGAGGATCTTTGGTGAGAGGGGAGCATTTTGGAGAAGGAAGCTAAATGTGTAAAATGGGGATGCACTGGGGACTGTTCCAGGTGGACCATAAAGGTGAATGAGGGTGTGCTCAAGGCTCCAGTTCAGGGAGAATGGAGTCCTTCACTGGTTCACATGACTGGGTGGAAGCGAGATATACCTCAGATCACAAGGGGAGGCCCAGTGGATACTGGAAAGCAGTCCTGCTACACTGGGTTGGCACCTGTGTATGTGAGGATGGGTGTGTAACCCTTCCAGAATATTTTTTCTTGACAGTGGGGGTGTGGGCAGATTCTCCAGGTATCCTAAGGAAGGTGCAGGAGTTGCAGAAGGAATACTAAAAGTGGGAGATGTGCCCTACCAGGGTCACTCATTATTCACAGAGGTGTGCCAGAGACATACAGGTAACGCAAGAACGCTGTGTGGCAGAGGAAAGAACAATCCCAACCTATAAATAAATAAACCTATAAATAAATAAACCTATCATTGCAAGTAGAAAATAATGGGTGAAAACCCCCCCTGCACCCAAGATGAAGAGTTGAACTTCAGCAGGAAAGTCCTGCGGGAGACCGGAGTGCCCTCTGAGAGGCAGGGAGGGATTGGTGGGGCAAGTGCCCAGTGGGATGCCTGGAAGGCCAAATACCAGCTCCCCCATCCTCACAGCTCCTGGCAGATGCTTGGCCACTCACTCCTTTGGAGCGCACATCCCTCAGAGGTTAAAAGGAGAGGTTGACAAACTTGGAAGCTATGCTGGGTGTTTGCAAGAGGAGAAAAGGCAGAGAATGCATGCGGTGGAAACACAAAATCCTGAGCCCCAAATCCTCCCCTTTCTGCTCACTCTGCATGCTCCATTTTCTCCCCCAGTGGCCAATTTTGGGCTGCTCCACTGTTTCAACTGTGTCCTGTGAGGGGCAGGGGGACCACCAAGAACATGAATCCCTGACCTTCAAAATATGAGGGGATCATGGAAATGGTGCACTGAGTTCAGTGGGCCAGTTGCTTCCCACATGGCCCACGAATTGCCGGGCAGGGGCTCAAGCAGCTGTCCCCAGCCATGTGGCCACTTTCCCAGAAGGAGTCCCAGCTGGAAGCAAGACCAAGGTTGCTCATAAAGGGGGAGTCTGGCTGGACTTGTGCTCCAAACAGAGCAACCTCCACCCTCAGGGGAGTTCCTCTGCTGACACTGAGTGAAGCCGGAGCTCTCAGGGCTGGGAACGGACTTTGTCAAACCTTTCCTATGTGGAGCAAGACATTCCCTTCTGTGCATCTTTCTTTTCCAGCTCTCAGGAGAGTTTGGGGGCCTCCCAGCAGCTCTGGCAGGATGCCTCTGCTGCTGCGCTCTTGCTGCAAAGCCAGTTTGTGAGGACATCCCAGGGAGCCCTCCCAGTGCAAGTATCAAAGGGAAGGGATCCACAATTCTGGAAAGATCTTCTGCAAGGAACAGTGCAACCCCAAGATCCCCACCCTGGAAAAGGAGGTGGAGGGATTTCCAAGCAGCATTGCTGGATCCCTGTCAAGTTCTGTGCAAACAACTACCAAAAAGTGCAATGGATGATATTTTTTCCAATTGGATCAATTTGATTCAGTCAATAGGCACAAAATAGATTGCTGGCTTGTTCAGGAAAGTTGGAGTTTTGAGCTCTTGATGAAGAAAACAAACAATTTTTATACTGTGCTTTTCATCATGAGATGCTCCTTGGTATTCAGGTCAGGCCTCCAAAGAATGATGTAGCACTTGGGCAGGAAGATGCAGCCCAGCAGCCCAGCGCTGGAGGCCAAGATGGAGAAGACCTGGATGGCCACCATGTACTTGCCCCTGGTGCTCAGGTAGGTGGGCACAAAGGACACCCAGACACTGCAGAAGACCAGCATGCTGAAGGTGATCAGCTTGGCCTCGTTGAAGGCCCTGGGCAGCTTCCTGGACAGGAAGGCCACCGTGAAGCAGCCAGGAAGCCCATGTAGCCCTCGGCAGCCAGGAAGCCCATGTAGCCGAGGGCAGCGTAGAACATGGCCACAGAGCCTTCGTTGCACTGCAGGACGATCTGCCCAGCCTGGGAGTGCATGTCAGCATCAGGGAAAGGGGGAGCAGTCCCCAGCCAGATGGTGGAGAGGACCAGTTGGACACTGGAGCAGCAGAGGACAATGGAGTTTGCCAAAGTCCTCCCCAGCCAGTTCCTTGCCCTGTTGCCTGGCCTGGTGGCTAGGAAGGCCAGCACCACAGTGACTGTTTTGGCCAGGAGGGAAGAGATGGCCACCGAGAAGATGATGCTGAAGGCTGCTTGTCGCAGGAGGCAGGTGACGCTTCTTGGCTGGCCAATGAAGAGGAAAGAGGAGAAAAAGCACAGCAGGAGGGAGACAAGCAGAATGTAGGAGAGATCTCATTTGTTGGCCTTGACTACTGGAGTCTCTTGGAATTTTATGAAGATCCCCAGTATGCCTTCTGTGGTGATGGAGAGGAGTAGGGCCATACCTGTGAGGAAGGACCCCAAATAGTCTTCATAGGAGAGGAAAGTGATGACCTTGGGGATGCACTGAACCTGGGCCTTATTTGGATGCTGATCTGCTGGACACCTCAGGCAATGCTCAGCATCTGTCGAAAGCAAGTGAAACAGCATGTTGACTTCTGCTCCTGTCTCTGCTC